TCTTGGAAGAGGACTTGAGTATAAAACTATGTGACATGCTAATTGCCTTTGAGATTCAGAAGGTAATAGACTGCATTTATCTCCATGATCTCAAGGAAATCCGACATTTAAATTTTTCATGAATATTGTCGGTCGATAAATTAGACTTCATTGAAAATAAGTTTCTGTGGTGTGTATCTTCACATTAAAAGAGTTTATTCTCTCTTATAACTGATTCATACAACGGTAACCTAATGATACTCAAGTATAAATCTTATTCATTTCACCTAAAAGCATAGAAGTCATGACCAGTACGGAACAGAAACATATGAAAAAATGGCTACGACATATCATGCTGCCGATAGCTCTATGCCCCTGAAAGACTTTTTAATCACTAAGCAATGCCTGCTGAGTTAAAGCGCAAATGTCGAGTGTGAAATAGTGAGTATAAACACACATGATAACGCCTTTGAGGTTTAAGTTTGATGAGCTGTAAAACTAACTACTTAAATAAATTGCAGTGGCAACTTCAGATGACTTCTTTCAAGTAGCTCTAAACACCTATTTTAAGTACGCTGCTTCTGAGGAGGATTGTAGAGGTCTAATTTAGATGATTAACTGGTAACGCATAAGCTCGTATTAGGATTAGAACCATATAGATGAACTAGGCATTTCATTTCCGATCATTCTATAATGAGTAGTGAAATGTTAATGTGTTTTAACAAGGACCTTGTGTACTATATGTTTCACACATCAGGTAATAATAACCTACCACAAACACCTTTAGATCTCCTCAGTATCTATACGGTGACGAGTAAATATAAGTTCAACAAGAACGCTGTTAAGTTTGTTTTCGTTCTGTCTTCATTCTCTTCTCATCAACTCTTCTTTGTGTATTGTTTTATACTACTTATTATTATTCAGTAAACAGTTGTATTCTTAGCAATTTCTACACGAATGTTGTGACTGAAGTTTGTCGTGTCATGTTTTAAACTATTTCGCATACACTTGGCATTGTTTTGCTTGTATCTTCCCATTGAGGTTCAAGATTGCTATTGATCATACGTATGACAGTTATTGTATTTATTGTCAGAATTAAAATGTCTCCTAATCCCTTTCACGGTAATTCTCAATTATGTATAGTCGTTTAAACTTTGTTTAAGGTTAGACAAAGCTATCAGCTATCATTTGCACTACCATATATCTTCATTATTCTTTATGTTCATATTGCTGGAGGTCCCTTTCCTTTTAGACTTACAGGCATGCTATGCTCCACAGATATCTCACCAGTTGTAGTCTGTAACTAATTTAAGTTTATTCTTGAAAAAAGGAATGCTTTTTAAACAAGTCACTCTTATATGAACTTCGGTTTTGCATGCATCTCAACCGTTTGATTATACGCTTCGAAAGATTTAACTACTACTGTAGATGGATTATCTTTTTTAGTTACGTTGTTGTCAGCCAGAAATTTATCAGCGGCAATCCCGAACTTACCTGATCACAGTCCAAACAATTGCAGTCGTCGGCTAGTTTTTCGTTCTAGTAGATAGGTCTCGTTTTATCTATAGAAGAAATCATGATAGTTGATCAGGTATTTATTCATATTGTGGAACATAAATGTCTAGCACAATGTCCTCCTTTTCACACAAAAAGTGTACGAGGTATAATATAGAATAGTAGGAGACACAATGCCCACACAAAATAAGGAAGTAAATAAGTACTTGGGCTATAATGTTTTGATATTAACAAGATGTTATCGCGCAACTCTTAACCAATCAACTTAAGTCGTTATAAGTCATTTAGACCCATCTGCAGAAGCTTTTGTGTTACTAAAATTATCTCTTAACGTCTGACTATACGCTATATTTGTTTCTTCCTTATTTTCTTTACCATCGATCCTAAGTTGAGCCGTTATGGTGTTGTGTAGTAAATTTATTTATCCCACTTCTTCGTTACATTCAACTCATAGTCTTATGTCGTTTTATTTTACCTTAAACTAACTACTTTCGACACGAAGATAAACAGGGGACGAAAAGTTTCTCTACTAAAGCGATCAAACTACGTCTAGGTTTGCAAATATACAATTAGAAACAGCAAAGGTTATTACGCTTATGAATACTACTGATTTAAGTATATATATATATATATGCACATTATTCGATAGGGATATCATATATCTCAGAGCATTTTTATCAGGGTTTCTTATGAGCGGCCCAGCACTGGGTTTAGGACGAAAACTCCAGTGAGCTTGCCGGCTATTCCAAATGTTTGTCGGTTGACGATTACCGGAGAGCTGTGACGGCCAAACTGCAGATATTCGATTTCAATCGAAAAACAGAGGTTGATTCGACTACACTAAACTACTTACTTATTGGTGATGCGAGAAGCACTTTTACCCCATTAATTACTTACACCTGTTAACCCTCGTGGTGGAGCATAGTCCGCCCACCAACATTCTCCATCCAATTCTGTTCTGCGCAATTTTTTCCACTTATTTCCAGCCACCACTCATCCTTTTCGGGCTTGCTTATAATTCTCGGCTCAATGTGTGTCGGGGTGATCCAGAAAATCTCTCGCAAAAGACAAGAAAGACTCAGGAATCACTAAAAAGCATTTTATCCAATCAGCGTTCACTTGAAGTTTAGCCACAAACATCAAGAAAGTGAAAAGTCACATTTAGAGTTCTTGATTGTCTGATTACTGCTACTATGTTTAGTAGCATTCCAGAATTTTCGGGAAACTCAAGGACGTTTGAAATACTATAAAAACCCTGTATTTTCTGTACCAAAACGAACCTTTGAAGTAAAGTGCTTCGCGCATGTTCTGTGCCTTTTCTCTCGTGTACAGGTCGCTGTGTAGTTCTAGCTTGGGGGTTACGAGAATGGCTTAGGAACCGAATATAGCGTCTAATTGGCAAGACGTATCGGTGTTTTAATTGGCCTTCCTCTTTTCCTTTTCACTTTAGGATGCCAAGTTAGCGATTGCCTTGTGGTGTACTTTGATGACTTTCTGAATGTATGTCCTATCCACATACGTCTTTTCCTAATTTCCTCCTGTGCTGGAACTTGGTTTATTCTTTCCCACAGTAGGCTGTTATTGATGGTATCTAGTTAACGGACATTAAGTATCTTGCATAGACAAATGTTCATAAATACTTTTACATGTTTAATGATGGCTGTAGTAGGACTGTAGGACCATGTTGACGTTCGTACTGAGGATTTTAACTTTGATATTGGTCGATATTTGTTTTGAATCCATCATTTGTACTCCATGGTCATATGAAAATAAGCTTGAACTTAATCTGCGTGACCACAATTCCATACAAAACTAAACTAGAAAAATACAATATGCCTCGAATTAAGGGCTATGGTATACGATTTAAGGCTTATTTGGTGGAAATGAACGCACTATACAATAAAAAATGATTGAGAAATAAAACAATCGAGTATTTGAGAGTTAAAGAGAAGATTTTCAACAAAATTAGGTAGATTTTCTATCTAGAAGGACCGAAAAGACTGGTAAAGCTTTCGCAGTAGGTAGTTAAAAAGCAACATTGACGAACAGGTACACCCTGTATCACTGAGTTTAGTAAAACGAGACATTGTAAGTGATTTAATTGCATGTAGCGACAAGAATAAATCATTAGAGATAGTAAGACATAAAATCTTTGGTCGCATGATCCTAGATAGAACATAGAAAGCAGGCAGAAAAATAAAAGCACCTAAGAAAGATCCTCAAAAAATTCATTCCGTCACATTTATTTGCACAGATGGAGTAATCTAAGTCAACCGAGTGTAGTAAATCTATTGATTCACACCACCAGAGTGCGCTGGATAACCAACGAGGAATTGTAGGCTTAAAAGAGGACATACAAATAGTATCTCACTTCTTTCTCACTATCAGTTTGTCTTCCTTCAATATCCTGGTCAACTGATGAGATTACAACCCTTCGGTAGATAATTTCGTAAATGTTAGAAAAGTAAAGTACGTGAGCTGGATTACTCTGAGTCGTCCACAAGACCATGTATTAAGCCAACACGGGCTATCTTAGTCGATGATTGGTGGTCTACTTCAGTAGGACGGGATCAGTCAGCTTGTGTCGAATTCACACCTCACGGTTAATACCTAAATCAAACTGCCCTTTCGTCACATCCAGGTACTATGGCTACTTTGATGATCTTACAACACAAACAATGTTATCACAGAAATATACTGATAAGAGAAGTTACAAAAAGTGCGCGAACACTGCTGCACAGTCCAGTCCATGGTAATCAATTGATTGACGGGCGTTGGTCATGGTTGACCCTAACATGAACCACCAAATTGTTCTATATTTAGTGACCATACTACTGGATGGCTTGGCAAGGGCCGTAACATTTCACGGGAATTACAAGCAGTTGAAAATTTTATTCATCACTATTTTATTTTCACTATATCTTGTGGCAAACGTAACATTTTTGGTTATTGAAGCATTCCAGCCTATGTTAAATTTCATGATTTTCATGTATTAGCTCATTTTGGTGGACACGTATACGATGTTATTTGAACATATTGACTGCGTTACTGATAATTATTGTGTTCGAACCATTCCTTTAAAGTCTATTTTTAGAATCCTATTACAAACAATCGAAAGATACCTCAGTGAAACGATACTCGCTCTCGAATTTCCACAGCCTTATCGTTCTGAAACTTAAAGACAAACCAAAAAGACAGAACATCTATAGTGGTAGATAAGTCCTGAAATCAAATAATAATTCAAGTCTTCGACATTGTTGCTGATATCATTAAGTCGACAGGAGACACTTCAACTGAAGACACTTGCTCAAACATCACGCCAGACCACTAATGGGTGCGTAATGCTACGCAAACCTTAGAACGGTAGTCAGCTAAGTTAACATAGTATTCAATATTTCCAAATATTTGAGCAATTTACTTGGAACAGGACAGTTGAGTGGCTAGAATACCTTCACTTTTATAGCTTGAGATCCTAGACCGCTTCTTAAAACCAAGATAAGAGTATGTGCATAGCGATAAGTTTATATGAACTTTTCACAAAGTTTCTGAACACCGAGATATAAACAACAGTTGTCATAGTAACAGTAAATTCAACGTTGTTGAAAAAGTCAGATGGAGAATACAAAGCCAACTGGGATGCGGCGTGCATCTCATTGGTCTACTGAAGTCGAAAATGCATATAGGTTTCAGTTGGCGGGTTACAGAGACGAAGTGGAATATTTTGTAAGTTTTTTCGTTTTATATTATTTACGAATGTTTTGAGAACTATAATAATGCTGACCCAGAGAAGTGGACAAATACGGGATTTGTTAAAAAACTGAAGCGACGAGATGGTCTGTTCTACTATTTTAACAAGAATAGGGAGTGTTCAGACAAAGATATACCGAAATGCAAACTATACGTATATTAATAAACAAAATACAATTCAGTGAATAATATCCATCAACCTTTATTTCTAGAAGTTCTTGACAGTGCGTACTCTGTTTAACAAAGGGTGTGAAAATTTTACACGAGGGTAAAGCAACAATTAATAAACTATTTCAACCACAAAACCTGTCGGTGTTTCTTCGCTTGTTGTTTATTCCTAATACAAGAGATTTACTGCAATCCTCTGACGTCTTGGTAAGAGAAAGGCTTTTGCCGATTATGAGTGGTTGTGTTGACTGCATACATAGTCTGATCATAGTTGAAACAAATATTTTTCCTCAACTCAGTCGAAGAAGAAAGAAGAGCACTGTATATTGTTTGACAGTTTAGCTAAATACTACATATTCATTTTAAAGAAGTCTAAAGAATGAAAAGCTTTCTTTAATTGTGACGATGAGGATGCCCTGTTTAACCTGCAGGGTCTGGTACTATGTCAAGCCTGCACAGGTTATTCTAGCCTTTGGACAGACCAATTTATTTATTCTTCTGGAGCCGTATTTTGATCTTGTTAATTAATCGCTTATCAACCCCAACCGTTTTTACGTAAGCGTATGTATGTAAATTTCTTATCTTAAACATCACATATATGCAGCTTATTTTTGTTCGACTATAAATATCAATTCATGGTCGGTTAAATCAAGTTGGCTTACTCGCCTTCTTCACCGCGCATCAATCCGTTTCGCTTTGCCATCTCCTCTTCGCTTTCTTCTCTTCGCTTTCTTCTCTTCGTCTCTCTGAACGTCTATTCTGATCGACGATTGTACTAAATATACGTATTCGAAACTCCATTCTCGTATTTGAATAATTTTAATTCCGTTATTCGCTAACGCGAGTTAAATCGATAAATATGTACGGAATTGGTGACATGTATATTTCGATGGCAATCAACATACGATCAAATCGGAGTCAGGTAATGGGCCACAAAATGTCTTGTCCACAAATGTGTTTTCTGAAGGAGCGGTGGCCATGCGTTTAGGTAAACAGTCTTCAGTCTTCTTCAGTTTATAGTAAAAAGGATAGGAGGTCTATCAACCTATATTAATCCCTGCAGGTCCAATCTCGTCTTAAATATATTAACAGAAGGTGCTGATATTACGTGTTCCGGTAGAGAATTCCAGTAATTCATTACTCGGTGCGAGAAACGAAACTCCAAACGTAAACGATTTAATTTTTGAGCTTTCTTCGAATGTCCTCTCAAATGATCAGTCCTAGACGGAAGTAAAAGATAAGACGTGTTAATACCAAGGTCATCGTTCAGTATACGATAAGCCAATATTAGATCACCCCGTACTCTATGGTGAGATAACGAAATAAGTTAAGGTGTATCAGTCTTTCTTCATAGGATAGGCCAGATAGACCTTGTACCGTCTTAGTACCTCGTCGTTAGACTTTCCAGCATCTCTGCTTCATACTTGAAAAAAGGACTAGCTGCTTGAATCCCATATTCTAAATGTGGTTGCACATAAATCGGGTATAATAATCTAAACATTTCATCATTTAAATATTGGAAAGACACACGAATTAACCATAATACCCTATAGCCTTTCGCATCAGCAGTCTTACAGTGACTAGTGGCTTTGAGATCACTGCTTAATATGACTCCTAAATCTTTATAGTTTCTTACTTTGGGTAGCATGAATCAACATATTGTATAGTGATACGATTCATCATAGTTATTTATTTGCATCATCACAGTCTTATTGGGATTTACTTCTAGTGACCACCTGTCCAACCATGCCACCAATAAGCTAAGATCATTTTGTAATACCATCTTATCTGACATACTGCGTAGGGGTCTCCAAATTTTTATGTCATCAGCGAAGAGTAGAACGGATGATTTTGCTACAGTTGGTAATTCATTTACATAAAGTAAAAAGAGAAGAGGACCGAGGATTCTACCTTGGGGAACTCCACTCTTTACAGGTACCCACGAGGAGAGAGCCCCGTTTACCCTTACCTTTTGTCTCCTGTCATGGAGAAAGTTACTTATCCAATCTACGACTGTATAATGGATTCCAAAAAGTTCCCGTTTGAATTTAAGACCAGAGTGGGAGATTATATCGAAGGCTTTACTGTGATCTATGAAGATCACATCCACAGGAATATTCCGGTCTTTTGCAGCAGCCCAATCTTCTTTTGTGATGAGAAGATTTGTCAAGCATCATAGACCTCTTCGAAAACCATGTTGTTCCCTGGAGAAAAGATTATACCCTTCAACATAGCTTATAACATATATCCGAATGATTTTTTCCATCAGTTTTACAAGTGCACAAGTTAAGCTAATGGGTCTATAGTTACTAACTAAATCCCTACTCCCAGCCTTATACATCGGACTTTTTATGGCGTATTTCCAGTCTCTGGGCAATTCACAGTTATATAATATACCCTTGTGGGTCAGCGTAATTTTACATTGGTTTTCAGGAGAACCAGACTGGGAAGCCTTTTACGTTTTATGTGTGAAATGACCAACATTTGACTTACCAGATATCCTATTTCTCAATGTCACCTCACTGACACTGTGTGTCAGTAAACTTGGTTCATGAGAAGTGTTACCTAGTCACACTAACCAAGTAAGTCACGAAGTCAGTTGCGATCAATACAATTCATAGAGTATTTAACCAGTTATGGCAGATTTTCAGGGCATGCTGTGCATCTTAAAGTACAAATCTTTCGTTTCTGAAAGCTACACAAACGAAAAATATCAATTCATAACCGTTATTTAGGTTGAAAGTTGTGAATGGGCCATCTGGAGTCTTCCTGTATAATAGTAGCTGGTTCATCATACAAAAGGTTAGAGATTGATTCACTTGCCAATTTTTAGTTCTTTCCTAACGGACCACAGTCTTTTTGAGGGAATGAGATGGATGTTCGCATGACTCACTCAAAATGTGGGTGGACAATTGTTGTACTCAAAGTTATAGACGTCTTGGTATCCCGGTGATCGAATAAGCCATGTATTTTTCAAAGTTTTTAAAACAGCTTCCACTTAGGATTGCGCAGCGAACTTTGAGTCTTGACTGATATCACTTCCAAGGTTATCGTGTGTTTGCAAAAAAAGTAATTTAACACAAGTATTCGATAATTCTAATAATTTGTTGTAGCATTTCAGAAATCTATAGTGTTCCTTTCAGTTTATATAACGTCATATATCTTGTTACAGTCCGAAAATATCAAGACTGAGCGGAACGAAAGACTTTGGGGATTATTTACGAATAAAAGAAAGAAGACTAAGCAAAGATTACACTAGGAGCCTCTGTTAATCATCGCCATCTGTATGCAGCATTAAATTACTTCCAACCCGTGTTGCCTAACTCAGATAGAAGTTGGGCACATGGAACTTTACTACAACCGTTACTGAAGTGGGTGAAGGTTGCATCTTTCGGTAACCTGTGACCTGGGATGCCAGTGGATGTTTCTTTGCCAATAACAACTTAGAAGCCTGAGCAACCAATTCGGAAAACATGCTATTATTTGGAGTACCAAGATCTTGCCTGATTGCTTGAATAGTTGTTTTCAAATAACCTCTTTAGAATCTTGACAACTATGTCAGCTAAACTTACTAGACAATAGCTTTCAGGACCGAACAGAGAAATTATTTCAAAGATAGGATACAATAGAGTATTGTTCAATTATCTAGCTAGTTTCACTGTGTCGTAGGGGTGTTTAAAGAAAATAAAATATTTGATGGTAAGTAGTTTCGGTTTATGTAATAGCCTTAAAAGTATTTTGTCAAGTTTATTCATCAGTCCGTGGGGTGTCAAGTTATCAGTTGGGCATCGTGCTTAGATTGAATTTAAACTAATTAGGGTATATACAAACGGGTGAGTGCAAAATGAACCGACATCGATTATAGTGATCATTATTTAAGATTGAACTGCAAAGGATGAGATTTGTCAAAGTACCGTAGATGTAAATGTCAATTATACTTTTAACTTTCTATAACATGTCTAAATGTTCAGTTCCAACGAATTTCAATGAATTTTCAAGTTTTCGGATGAGTAAGGTCAATTCTCTTTGCCATCCTATTTTAGGAATATATCTGACAACTGATGTGTGAATGTTACACAATACAATTTTCCAAATTTGACCGCAGTGGTCTCCTTATCTTGATGTTCAAATGATTTCAAAATAGTTTGTTGGTACTTTGCTTTTTTCTCCACTTTCTGTGCATAATGGTTACTCGATTAAACCATCAAACTCAGATACGACATCAGCAATCGGTAGTGAAGGTATTACTGCCAACTAACAGATATGGACATCGAACTTTCTGTCGGTTGTTTAATGTTGTTGATGTCCTGTTTGTCGGAGCTTTTGACATATAAATTGTCTCAGATGTAATGGAAAACATTAATGTACTTCATTTCGACACTCGTTGGAATGCCGATAAACCTGAATGTTTGTAATCGATCTTGCTAATTAGTGGATTTAAAGTCAGGAGTTCATCCGATTTTTAAAAGATGTGTACATACGAATTCATGTCTTTGTCTCACATTAAAATGGAAATTAGGCGAATAATAAAATTGAATTCCGTACAGTGAATTGTGTATACCTGAGTAAACAAAGGCCAGGTAGTCTTGAAAATTACATTAGCATACCAATATGAACACTGCTTTAGGAATGCCAGATTCCGAGTTATAGAGAAGATCAAGTTCATTTTTCACTGAGTCCATCGTCTTGTGTAAGTAAATTTTATTATTTCACAGTCGCCTGATATTCCAAAGGTAGGGTCAACGTAACCAATGAATTTGGATTTGGCATTGGCAACTCATGGTCATAATGAGTGTCAAATTTTCTGCTTGACCCGAAAAGAAGCTGAAAGTTGAGATGATACTGCATCGACCATACTGAAAAATGTCATAGCTAGGACATGATTTCTCTTTTCTGCTAATGCGAATACTATTAAATTCCAGCTACAAAAAGATTTTGTACAACTTGTCCACTTCACAAGCTTAAAAGTAGTATAAACTATAATATTTGTAGAATACAATGAGGTGATTATGTTTCATGTATTCTTTCCCACCAAATATAAGCTAGTAAATCAAGTTCGATGATAATATTAGCGTACAACCTTTAGGAATTAATTTTTTCAGTGATCAGTAGAATTGTGACCTTAAATTAAAACCATTTAACACTGTTATATGTAATTATAGTGGTAGTAATGGGATGTAGTTATGTAACAAAACGAACGATTTATAAAAAACGCGAAAAGGTAAGACAGAAAATTAAATTGGGACCACTGAACAGTGTTGATGATTTTTTGAAACATAAAATTAACCTATTAATACTGGTTTTTTCGTACTTACGGAATTGGAATTGAGACAGTCTCCTGTTAAACACAAAAAGGATATTTATGTTTCCTAATTTCTATAGCCTCTGCGAATTTTGATAGAAAGGAGTTGTATTGAATATTTTGGATGAGCACACTGTATATATCTTTATTCCTTACTGAACAGATGGCCCTTAACCGAACTTCGAAAACCGTTTTCTCTTCTATGTCGAAATTTCTTGGGAATATGTTCTCTGAAATCATGAATTCTCCTACTCAGAGTAATTAATCAACAAAAAGGAAAATTTTGAATATGAGATCGTGAAGATTGTTTACTTTCATCGAAATCGTGAACTGAACTAAACCAGATCAACATTGAAGATCTGGAGGCACTGGACAAAGAAGATGATATGATAGTTCGGAAAGCTAATTCTTAAAGCATTCATTCACCTGTCAATTTACATCGTTTTATAATATCATTTACCTAGTGACCGGATAACACT